ATAAAAAAAAAAGTAATTTTGTTTCAAGGTTTGGCAAAAGTAGGGGTCTTTCAATTGCACTGAAAAATAAAAAAAAAAAAAAAAAAAAAAGGCTGGATCAAAGCAGACACGTATAATAACAGTACTAGTAATTTACCCATGTGCAGGAGAAAAGGCTTAACTCCTAAAGTGAATGGGATAGAAATAGAATCAGTGCTCCCAATCTAAAAATAGGTCCAGAATTCTCACAAGTCCTTGTCAGAGTCTCCACTTTAGCAAGCTTTTATCCATACCATATTCCGATAGTTTTCTACCTAAGCCTGCTTGACACGTATAATAACAGTACTAGTAATTTACCCATGTGCAGGAGAAAAGGCTTAACTCCTAAAGTGAATGGGATAGAAATAGAATCAGTGCTCCCAATCTAAAAATAGGTCCAGAATTCTCACAAGTCCTTGTCAGAGTCTCCACTTTAGCAAGCTTTTATCCATACCATATTCCGATAGTTTTCTACCTAAGCCTGCTTGTCCAAGAATCCAAGGTAAATTAACTTATTAATTTTTTTTAGAGTTTACGAAGTGCTTTTATATTCATTAATTCTTACAATAACTGAGAAGTTTATACCATGCATCACATAAAATATGCATTATGTACATAATAGAGGATAAGATATACATTATCATTGGGATTTTCTGTCTCTGCTTCTGTTTCTCTCTAAAAGGTGGCTTTGAACTTTGAAATAAGCTTTCTCCAGCAGCAGGGGTCATGACTACCAGTAGCTCTGAAACTGTACCCTCAAAGTTTCCTTCCCTCAGCTCTAGTTTGAGAAATGCTAGCGCAGGACTTTGGTCCTGCTTACATCAGATTTTCATCCTGCTAATAATCACTGTGTGTTGGAAGGGCAAGATCTTGAAGAAAGATAACAGTTTTCATTAGGAATATTAAGAATAATAGGCTTTTTTAGTTTATTTGGGGTGCTATATCAGAATACCACAGATTGGGTGACTTATCGACAGAAATCTATTTCTCACAGTTCTAGAGGCTAGAAGTACATAATCAGGATGCCAACAGATTTGGTGTCTGGTGACAGCCCACTTTCTGGTTCATAGAAGGTTGTCTTTTTTCTGTGTCCTCACATGGCAGAAGGGGTGAAGGATCTCTTTGGGGTCCCTTTTCCATGAGCACTAATCCTATTCATGAGGGTTCCATCCTCCTGTCCTTAGTACCTCCCAAAGGCTTCACCTCCAAATATCATCACAGTGGGTTTTTTTCAAGATATGAATTTTGGGGGTACATAAACATTCAGTATATAGCAGAAGGGAAGAAGTAATGAAGGGAGAGGGTAGCACAGACATGGCTACCTGGGGGACTTGAGTTGGACAATCATCCTAATTAGTGCCTATTCATAATCATTGATTTCAATTTGTTCTCTTTTACCTGTTTATATCATACTCAGTTCCTTTTCTCACTCTAGTTCTCATTGTCACTTAATTGTTTATTTTATCACCCTTTCAAATTGAATTTTTTAAATCCCTAGTTTTAAATGTAATTTTCCCAAGAGCTTAGGTCTTATACCTAAATGACAGTTACTCTTTTTAAAAATAGACTTTATTTTTTTTTAAAGCAGATTTCGGTTCACAGCAAATTGAACCAAAAGTACAGTTCCCATTACCCCTGCCCCACAATATCTTATTAAATTTTGTTTTATAGTACAGTCTTGTTCGATTACTAATATTACAGTATGCCCGAAATATTATTGTATTGTAAATGTTTTTGATATATTTCGCTTTATTATGCTTTAATCGGCTGTTTTGAGGCTGACTCCTGACTCTGCATTCACGGTCTAGATTTCTTTCCCTCCTTCTTGTACATACATTTGCTGAGGGACGTCATCTGGAGGTCCTGCTGACCCTTTCAACCCAACATGTCTAGGAATGGGAATCAGTATCATATGCCTCTCCTTAAAACCTGCTTCTCTTGTGTTCCCCGCATCAGTGAGGGTTGTACCTACCATTCACCCAGTTACTCAAGTCAGAAATCTGGATATTGATTGTCTTAGTTTTTCCTTTCTCATCAGACACAGTCATCACCATATCTTGCAGATCGTACCTCCCAAATTGTGCCCTCATCCCTGCTATTGTTTGTGTTCTAGGTCAGAAACTCCTCATCCCTGACTTGGATTATTGTACCAGACTCCTAGCTCTGCTGTCTGCTTTCGCTCTAGTCCAAATCCAGTCCCCAGACCAGAGTGATCCTTCTAAAGTGCACATCTGATTGTGCTGCTCTGCTATTTAAAACCTCTTAGAGTTTTCCCTTGCCTCCAGGGAAAAACCCAAGGTCTTTCCTGAACTGGCTCCTGCCCATCTTTCTAGCACCATCTCTACACCCCCAGCAGTATTTGCCTCTAGCTTTCCTGACTGGAACCTCTTGAAGAACTGGGGTAGTATAGTGATTAAGAGCAATGACTCAGGTGCAAATTAAGGCTTCACCAGCTGAGTCGAGTTATACTTAAACTCTCTGAACCTCACTTTCTTTATTTGTGAAAAGGATAGCCTGACTACTTCACGGGATTATTATGAAGAGAAATTATGATAATGTTGGCAAAATACTTGGCACAGAATAAGCATTTGATATGTGGTGATATATTATTAATTTTGGGCTATGCCAGTCCATCCCTCACTGAATTTGCATGGTTCCCTCCTTGTCTTTTGCACTCTTTCGTGTAGCAATTATTTCTTGACCAGCTACTATGTGCCAGTATTCTAGACGCTGGGGAAACATTGCTGCACCAGAACAACATTCCAATCCAATTAATTCCTCTTTATGCTTCAAAAACTTTCTTGACATTCCTAGGTCTAGGATGCTCTGTGCTACCACTTCCTGTTGTACATTCTAATTCCCTTGTGTTTCACTTATCAATTTATTATGCTGTAGAGCTAATGATTATTAATGTCTACACTATTAGACTGTCATTTTCTTGCAAGCTGGGTAGAGATTATTAGTTTGTGTACACTGAATGCTAACAGTGCTTAATAATCATTCACTTAAATACATGGAGTGGATGGACACAAGATATTCAGTGAATATTGCTCGGATGAAATTTGAGTTCACAACAGTTTTCTTACATTGTTTTCTACAGTTATACAATATTTTAGCTCTGTTTGGCTTTTAGGGCTATCCTGGGAACCCGACTCCTAATTCTGTTTTACAGGGAATAAATGCAGTTTGAGTGCAAATAACTACTTCAAAATGAAGCTTGAGTATAATTCTTTGTAACTTAGGAATTACTTTAGTATGAGAAAATTCCGTGCCATGAGCATTGCAAAGATCTTGACCTGATGACCTTATATTATTTTTATTTTCATTTTCATGTCTTTAGATTTTATCAATATCCATTTTTAAAGTTTGTCCTTTTAATGGCTTTTATGGCCTTAAAATTTGTTTCCTTTCATTGCATGTTTTCTGATATATGCTCAGTTGAGTGCATGGTTTAACATTTGTTTTCTTCCTTTCCTGTGTTCTTTCTTCCTACAGGCTTCCTTCCCTGGGAACTTACACTTGGTATTGGTTCTACGTCCAACCAGTTTTCTTCAACGAACTTTCACAGACATTGGATTTCGTTTTAGCCATGAAGATTTTATGGTCAAACTACCGGTAAGAGTATTTTAAAAAAATGTTTTGTCCCTTTAATTGTCCTGAAGGCTTTGTAACATGCTGTCGATGTTTTATATGTGCTCACAAAGCATTTAAAAGAAAAAAAAATAGAATTTGTCTTCCAGAAATGTAAATTTGCAATGCCTAAGTTTTCTGCTTCTACTGTTAAAGGAATAGATTGCTCAATTTGTAACAAAGCAATTCTTTTTGAAAAAGATATATTTGTCACATATGTTATATATGTGTGTGTATATACATATGTGTACATGCGTGTATAAAATCTGGATGTTTTCTTTTTAGGAAATAATGAGTGTGTGTTTTATGTATTTGAACTCCCATGAACTTACATCCTGAGCTAGTTCAGAGTACCGTGGTCTTTTAAAAGATATTTTTATATGGCTTTAGGGCTAGGAATAGAGTGCTCATAAATTTTGATACTTTTGCAAAGATCAGTCTCTCCTGATAAATTATAACTACGCAAACCCCTTTTACATTGTGGTAAGCATAACATTCTTTCAAAAGGTTGACTATTAACAGTACAAATTTTTAGATCAAGGAGAATTAGGTGTTTGGATTTCTATGGAGATGAATTTTGCTTTACAGAGAAATGTTTTATAAATGAAAACTGTTATTACCTGAAGAAGGTAGTGTGTGTGTGTGTTGGGGGGGATGTACAGGAGAGAATTGTTTATAAAAGATAACTTTCTGCTAAATGAATGCTAAAGTCATTTTACAGTTGAAAGGAGGGGGGATGCCACGAAGGGCAGTTAACAGTATCTTTCTTGCTTATTTATATAGGTTGTTATGCTGAGCTCAGTTAGTGATTTGCTGGCATACATTGATGACAAGCAATTAACCCCTGAGTTAGGCGGCACCTTGCAGTACTGCCACAGTGAATGGATCATCTTCAGAAATGTATGTTTCTTTTGCCCTTACTGTAGAAACTATAGTTCATATTAGCCTTTAAATCTAGTTCTAGAATTCTTTTCCTTTTTGGGAAAACTGATTTCTGGGGCTCCTAGGTTTTAAAATCCATATATAATTCAACATCTTGATTTTCTTCCATAGGAAATATCTAGAAATGGTGAAGAGTCACTGAGGATGGCAATTGTAGGAGAGGCCTAGGGAATAAGGAGATCTTCCTATGTCCGTCCTCTCCTGTGGCCATGTAGTAACTTGAAGAAATAAAGGGTTGGGATTCAAATCCTAGCACTGCTGATCTTTAGCTATAGAGCCTTGCACAAGTTATATAACCTCTCTGAGTCTCAGTTTTCCCAACTGTAAAATAGGAATCATAATACTTTACCTCATAGGGATATTGAGAAGATTAAATGAGACAACAAATGTAAGATGTTTGGTCCATGGCGTATGGCAGACTCCCAAAAGATGCTAGTCGTCTTGTTAATCTCATCATCCTAGTGCTGCTCCTGAGGCAGTTAGATTTGTAGCAAAGATTCCTTCTGTTCTAGAAATTTACAATTAGACAAGGGCCCTGTAACTCACAGGGGTGAGTTTGTAGTATAAAAATCTCTACCCCAAATCTCAGAGATATGGGAACCCTTCTGAAGGAAGTAATTAAATGATGTTGAATTAAGTCAGGGTTCTGTTTTCCTCATGCTTATTCTTCATTGAGCAGGCCTGTTCATTCATGTGAAGGTGTGTTATCAAAATTAGCAGTGTCTAGCCCTAAATAACGGATAAAGCTATAAGTAAAAGAGCATATACCTTGAGCTACGTGGTAAGCAGAAGGTTTATATGTTGTCCTTCTTTCTCTGAGTGATTGATTTTGGAAACAAACAGCAGAATCTTACTTGACATTTTAGGGCAGCAGAACCTGAAATGAATTGTTGTCACTAGGTGTTCCTTCATCACCCCAGTCCATCACCTTGCTTGGAATGCTAGTACTTGTTCATAAATGATAAATATAAAGTGGCTTTGATGTTTGCATCTCTCTTCAGAAGTAAAGTTATTATAAAGCAATTTTACAATTGCAGAGTTTACTAGAATAAGGAAAACCCTGTGTTTTTTGAGATCATAAACGAAACTACTTAGTACATGACATCTTTAAGAGTAGTTTTCATCAATGTCCAAGAAATAAGTACGGAAATTTAGATAAAAGACATTCAAGAAGACTCTTCACCTGATTATAGTTTCTCAGAGGCTTAGATGCAAAGTTAGCGTTGACTGCCAAGCTCAATGCCAAGTTTCCTTAGCAGAGAGGAGTTCATAATATTTGTATTTGCTGTCATACCTAAATAAAAGTAAATATGATTACTGATCCAGGTTTTGATACACTGGCAGAGTTTCCATAGCATTAAAAGAATCACTGACTCTTTGCAGGCTATAGAAAATTTTGCCCTCACAGTGAAAGAAATGGCTCAGATGTTACAGTCCTTTGGAACTGAGCTGGCTGAGACAGAACTACCAGATGATATTCCTTCGATAGAAGAAATTCTTGCAGTTCGTGCTGAAAGGTATCACCTGTTAAAGGTATGTCTGATAGAGTGGACAACAAAAGTTTTTCATGATCTTTTTTTTTTTCTAGAGAGGTGTTCAGTGTGTCCATTTCACACTGATTGGTGGGTAGAAAGACGAAAACTGTATTTATACATTGTAAAGCACACTATTAAAAATAAGAATACTTTATAAGAGGAAAATGTCCTGGATATGTTGAAGCTAAGTATCTTGTTTGTAAATGGTGCATTTGCTTGAGAAGTTGTTTATTTTTAAATAGAACAGTTGATATAAATGCTCCAGAATAAGAAATCCATAATCACTTTTGTTACGATGTATTCTTTACTTTGTGGAAAGGCCCTCTCATTTGGAAAGTTAGAGTGAGAATCAAGAGGCACACAGGCATTCTCTTTTAACGTCCACCACAGGTACAATGTGAAATGGAGAAGGAGAACTTGAGGAGGAATCAGGAGGCCTGGTTTCTTGTTCAGGCTCTGCCTTATACTAGTGTTGTGACCAAGTCAGACATTACTGGATTGATTACGAGCTTTCTTTTCCACAAAGTACTAGTTCTTGATGGTTTCTACAATAGACCATAGGTAGCAAATTGATTTTTCTCTCCTACCCGGTTGCCTGGAGTATTGGGTTGTGAAGGATTCTGCGTCATGATTCAGATAATCACCAAATAGTTTTAGATTCACTTTTCCCGAAAAATTTAAGAATGATCTGAGCAAGCACCTTCCTGTATGACTCAGGTCCTTCCTATGATAATAGGCTTGCTATGGGCACTGACAGACACAAGCTCTATGTGGAGGTGACATTTTTAAATTAAGAAGAGGAGAGAAAGTGAGGATTTCAATCATAACCCAAAAGCAAAACTCTGTTCAAGGAAAGAAAACTCTGTTTCTCACAAGCTGTGTGATTGGATAATTTGCTTACCCTCTCTGAGTTTTAGCCTTTTTATATGTGCAGTGAGGTTGATGATGATGATGGTGATGATGATGATACATGCATACCTTGTAGGGTTGTTGTGAGGATAAGCTGAGCAAAATATGTGATAAATATACAACAGTGTTTGGCACATAGTTGGCATTAGCTCTTAATGTTTATGTTCTTATTCATATTGGTGGTAGTGTCATGGAACCTGTTCCCAGAAAAATGTTTGGATCTCCTGAAGGAAGTCACACATCACTCTCACATGCCCGAAGAATCCATTATCCAAGGTTAAGGCCTTCTGAATAGAAGCATATGCTTCATGATGAATTAATACAAATGTGAAGTACCCTAATATTTATGGCAGGAAGAAATGAGTAACAGTTAAGGATTAGTAGGAAAGGCATCTAACTATATCTGAGCATGCATTTAATAGTATTTGTATGCTTTCTAGCGTGATAGTCTTTATTATGCTACTTCTGCCCTATTGGAGTGCATTAAAAATATTAGCAGAATAGAATAGAATAAATTAGAACTTTCTACCAGTAAGAGGAGGAGACTACAAATGGAGCATGGGGTACTTCTGCCTGTAAAGATCTTATGGAAATAGTGACTGCAACATCCATCTCAACAGGCAGAGGCTTCTTGGAGATTCTCACAACTTTTGGATTCTGTGGTACGTACTGAGGTATTCCTTGATTTTTCAGTAATGAAAACAAAGGATATTCTTGAACTCTTGTTTCTGTTCTGCATACTATAGGTATATGCTTCCTTCTCTTTAGGTCATTCAGATTAGGTTATTAGTAGGTTGATACATCCTATTGTGCCTTTGTACAGAATGATATAACAACTGTAACCAAAGAAGGAAAAGTTCTGCTAACAAATCTGGAAGTGCCTGACACTGAAGAAGCTGTCAGTTCAAGACTTGAACATCATCAAATAAGTGGTGACTGGCAAACTATTAATAAGTGAGTACTTACTTTTTGGTTTAGAGTTTCTTATTTTAGATTCTGGAAAGGGGATTACACATTTTTGCTGTAATCTGTTGCATGTGAAAGAATTCTTAGACCTCCGGAAATCTGAGAACTCCTTTCTGAGTTGTCTCACAGAAATTAGTTGACTTGTAAATGAGGTTCCGTGGACACCGATGGTCTCTACCTGGACCAAGTGTCATGGACCGTGACTTTGCCTTTAATTCTTAATGTCCAGACCAGGTTTATGTACATGCTTACAAAATGGTTGTTTTTAAGGAATTCTATGACTTTTCTATGTTCAGATTGTTGACTCAAGTACATGACATGGAAAGTGCTTTTGATGGATTTTGGGAAAAACACCAAATGAAAATGGAGCAGTATCTGCAACTATGGAAGTTTGAGCAGGATTTTCAAGAGGTCAGTTGAAACATTCCTCTATACATTTATTTTCATTATGCCAGAGATTCTTACTCATTGATCATCAGAAATAGTCTCACAAGATGTCCATTTATACCCATAGAGAGATGAAGAGGAGACAACTGTAAGTGAGTCTTGACCTTGAATGAAGAGTACTACTAAATGCCAAGACTTCTACTTCTGTGCCTTACTTCCTATGAAAGTGCACTTATGTGCTAACATATATGACAAAGACAAAGTTGCTATCTACCCTGGTGTTTGTTATTCAAATTAATTTTAGATATAAAATGCCTTCAGAGTATGAGACAGCTTTCTAAGGAAATAATATCAACTTCCTTCTTGATTTTTTAAAATACCATATATCTATGTTGGCCATATTTAACATGATCTAACAAAACATTTTGTTTTTCTTCTGATCCAGCAATTTACACCTACGAAAAGCCTGATGGATGAAATTAAATCATGTTTGGTTATATATTATTTAAAAGATTATAAGTATGTTCTAGTCGTATCCTTCTGGAAAATCTATCATATGTGGTCAAGAGACATAAATTTAGTTTCTTCTTTTCTTTGCAGTAATGTCCAAGCTCCTTGCAGTCTCTTTCATATATATTACTAGGAAATCTAAGGAAAACCCACTTTTTTTTTCCTGTTTTCTGTGTGGCCAGCTTGTTTTCTACTCATGAGTGGTTTACTTCTTGGTGTTTTATTTGTTCTAGCAGAATTAGATTTGGGAGGGGCACTGCATTCTAGACACAGAGCTCAGTTACTACTAGCTCTTTCATCTACTGTGATTCAAACAAATTTTAAAATGCCATACCCTCCTTGAAACCCTCTTTAAAGTAAGACTAGGTCAGATTGCTTTTGTTCCTTCCAGATATTTGTGTCTCTCCCTCTTCCCCAGCCGAACACATGTAAAAACACACTTTTCTTGAACATTCTTATTATTCTTCTATTTATATGTTAATGTGCATCCATACTAAATTCTTGTCCTGTAGTTATGTTCTGTTGGTTCAAGTCATCGTTGGCTCTAATCAATATTGTTATTGTTATTGTTTGAACTGTAATCTCACTAATGCAATCTGTATCTCATAGTGACGTGTAGACAGAGTCTGTATATAGTTAGGAAGTTAATGTAAAGAAAATTTGTTTGGAAATTTCAAACTTACAGAATGTTTTGAATATTGCCAAACTTGCGATATTCTTGAATATACAGAATAGAAATATTCTGTTGCATAATCACAGTGCAGTTATCAAATTCAGCGCAGTCAACGATAATGTAATACTTTTGTATTATCTACCATCAGTACTCCAATTTTATCAGCTCACTCAATACTATCCTTTGTCATTCCCTCCCACCTTGTCCAGTATAGGATCTAGTCTAGTGGGCCATGTGTTGCATTTAGTTATCATATCTTTTTAGTTGCCTTTAATCTAGAACATTTCCGTAGCCTTTCTTTTTTCTTTGTTTTTTATAACACAGACAGTTTTGAAGAATACAGACTTTTTTAAAATAAAATGTTCGTTTTGAGTTTATCTGACATTTTCTCATGATTAGATTAACCTATGACCACCTAGAATACTACATAAGTGATGTATCCTTCTGAGGGTATCACATGTGGAGGTAAATGAAGTCCACCTGCCCCTCATTGTTGATATGGATTTTGATCACCCAGTCAGGGTGCTATTGAATTTCTCCACTGTGTAGTTACTACCCCCTCTGCCCGTATCTAGTAGTAAACATGTGGGGAGAAAATTTAAGGCCATGCAAATACCTTCCTCCTCATCAAAAGATTACCACAGGTTTAGTATCAATTGATGATTCTTGCTTCAATCAGTCTTTACTATAATGGTTGTGAAATGCAGATTTTCCATCTCTAGTGTTCTCTCCCCACTTTCCAGTCCACATAGGCATACTACCAGATGCAAGGGCCTTCCCTTCTCCCCATTTATTTATGTATCTATTTATTGAGTTCATGGCTTCCTAGTTTTTCAATGATTTCTAATTTATTACTGTTAAATATTTTGGTGTACCAAGATCTGGGGAGGTGTGCTTGGTGTGCTCATTGTTACCAAAGGGTCTTTGTTTCTAGAACCATTCACCATAGAGCTAGGGAATATATATGCAGGTATATATACATATACATACCTCCATACACATCCACATTTATGTATTCTCACATGTACATTGTGATGTTTTATAAATCAACAGTACACACTGATATTTAAGAGGTTAAAATGTAATAGATTATATCAATTTCTGTGAATAAAATAACAAAACATTTTCCGTACGTATAATACTTCCATATCAATGGTCTTATTTAATAGAATTTCCTTCAGAACTTGATTATTAAGGGAAAATGCTTAATAATTTCCATGCTTTTAAGACTAATTTTTATTTCTATTTTTAGCTTGTGAGTGAAGTTGAATTTCTATTAAACCAACAAGCAGAGTTGGCAGATGTCACAGGGAATATATCGCAAATAAAACAAAAAATAAAGAAGTTGGAAAACTTAGATGAAAATTCTCAGGTAAGATTGTATTTCAGATGTTCATTATATTTATTAAGTATAATAGTTACATTTTGATAGTTTTCAGTAGTATAAACCCTTATGATTAATCTCTCAGCAACAATCTGTATACTTGGTTCAATAATACTGGTCTATATTATTTTTGTTTTGTTCAATGTGGGTCTGGGTGACACTACATAAGTCATGTAGTTGTAACAGGAGGCCTCTGAGATAATGTTGTGAACTGTTTTAGGCCCACCAATAGGAACAAGATCCTAAATCATTTTGAAGAAGCTAGAAAAAATGTCTGTCAAGAATGCTATTTGGTTTTTCCGTTGTATGTTTTTGGCTCTTTTGCTGAAAATTATTTTCCCATATATACTAGGGTTTATTTCTGGGCTGTCAATTCTATTCCATTGATCTCTGTGTTTGTTTTTCTGTCAATACCATGCCGTTTTTATTAGTCGCTTTGTAGTACGATTTGAAGTCAGACAAGTGGTTCCTCCAGCCTCGTTCTTTTTTCTCGGGATTGCTTTGGCTGTTGGGGGTCTTTTGTGAGTCCATACAAATCTGATGTTTTGTTTTGTTTTGTTTTGTTCTATCTCTTTAAAAAATTCCATTGGAATTTTGATGGAGATTGCATTAAATCTCTATATTGATTTGGGTAATATGGCCATTTTACTATGTTGATTCTTCTAATCCATGAACACAGAATATCTTTCCATTTCTTTGTGTCTTCTTCAATTTCTTTTAATAATGTCTTATAGTTTTCAGTGTATAGGTCCTTCACATGCTTCATTAAGTTTATACCTAGGTATTTTGTTCTTTTTGTTGCAATTGCAAAAGAAATGTTTTCTTCATTTCTTTTTCTGAAAATTCATTGCTAGTGTATAAGAATGCTATGGATTTTTGCACATTAATTTTGTATCCTGAAACTTTATTGTATTTGCTTATTGTTTCTAGTAGTGTTCTTGTGGAGTTATAGGGTTTTCTATGTAGAGAATCATGCCATCTGCAAAAGGTGACAATTTGACTTCTTCATTCCCAAATTGAATGCCTCTTATTTCTTTCTCTTGCCTGATTGCTCTAGCTAGGACTTTATGGTAACGGAAGAATATTTAACTTTGAGTGATGAACACACAATACAATATACATGTGATGTAATATTGAATTGTACACTTGAAACCTATATAATTTTATTAACTAATGTCACCCTGATAAATTTAATGAAAAAAAAGATAAACAAAACCTACCACAATTTTTGTTAGAAAAATGCTATTTGGTACTTGGAAATGATGGAAACATACAAAAACATAATTCCTTAAAATATTCGTCATTTGATACATGCATATGAACCAAATTAATACAGATAAATCTACTTAGTCTTACTAGCTGTGTGACCTTTGATAAATTGATTACATTTTCTAAGCCTCAAAGTCCATCTATACATAGGATTGAAATGACCTACTTTGTGGAGTGATTGTAAAGATTCATTTAGGTATCGTAGGTAAAACACTTAGCACAATACCTGAGATATATGGATATATAGTAAGTAATCAAAAGGGCTAGCTGCCATTATTCTGCTGGTCTTAAAGCTTGGACTCATGGCTTTAATACTTACCAAACTCTAGCTTTGCTCCCCTATCTCGTATGTGAGAACAAGGCCATAGTATTTAGGGTGTATTCTCAGCAAATTTATGATGAACCACTAGTACCTAAAAACAAAAATTGTTAAGAAGCGGTTGTGGCTACCAGTTCTGGAGTTATTCTTGTAGATTTTTGTGATTGTGGGGCAATTTACAAATCTCTAAGGTAGAAAGAGAAGGTAACTGGCTTGGAAACTAGGGGGCTTTGTGTTTTTTTTTTTTTTTTGCATTTGTTTTTAATAAATTTTAGTTTTAATTGTGATAAAAGATGCATAAGACTTACCACCTTAATCATTTTAAGTGTACAGTTCAGTAGTGTTAGGTATATTCCCATTGTCGTGCCACCAATCTTTAGGACTTTTTCATCTTTCAAAATTGAAAACTGTTCCCATTAAACAACTCCCTATTTTAACCCCAGTTTTCCCACTAGCTAACTAGGTTAGTCACTTCTTCATTCTGGGCTTCGGTATTTTTATTTATTTTATCTTGACAAACATTTCCTGAACTTCTACTATATTTCAGTCACTGTACTAAAGGGGTCAGTAGTTGATAGAGTGGAGGCAAGGCTGCTAAGATCCCTTTTCGCATGGAAACCTTGTGACGTTCACATCAGGCCTGTAAAATGGTCAGATAGATGACAACTCTAACGAGATTTCCAAGGCTGAGATATGTGAAATCCATTAGCTTTCTTTGGCTGTTGTGTACTTCATTTGATATACGCAGTTCTAAATCTGTACATATCAAGGGAAGCAAATTTCATCCACATTCTGGGCAGCTGGTTATTTTCTGTTTCTGTTACAGAAATGAGTGAGCTTCTGATGACATCAACTGTTCTAGCTAATTACTGTAACTGTAAGCCTTTTTTGCAGCCTGTAGAAGTATGACATCAAATCATATTTTTCACAGTATATCTCCCTTGCTCAACCAATTTGCTTCTTAGTTACTTTCTTTTTACCCCTGTATTTGGACAGAGATCATGCAGTTATTGTTTTACTTCTTTCTTAAAATCAGGATCTGTTAGCAAAGGCCCGGTTTGTGATTTTACATGGACACAGACTTGCAGCAAATCATCATTATGCACTTGATTTGATCTGTCAGAGGTGCAACGAGCTGCGTTACCTTTCTGATATTTTGGTTAATGAGATCAAAACCAAACGGATACAGCTCAGCAGGACCTTCAAAATGCATAAACTCCTACAGCAGGTAGTGGTATGGGAAATGATGCATTTCTGAAAAAGATGATAAATATTTTTCTTGGGTCCTTGTCAGAGGTTATAGAGTCAGGGTCTGGTATAGCTTTGGATTTAAGTTTGTAAGAAGTCTGAGTTTGATTATGCTTATTTAATCCGTATTACTTCTGCAGAATTCATGGCAGGTCTAATATTGTAAGAATTTTGGCCTCTGTTCCAAATATTGAGATCGTGATTGCGATGGCTTCCTTTCTATTTTGGGTAGATCTCTGAAGCCTCTACTCAGGTGATATTTTGCAGTCAGAGCATTTTTTTAAAGCCCTGAGGGCATTTAGCTAAAGCCTAAAATTCCTTCCACATTTCATAGTTACAGCAATAAAAATTAAACAGTGACTGGAAAATATTCCTCCACAGCTTGTGGATCTGACCCATTTCATGATTAAGCAATGGAGAGAAGATCTGGTCTTGGCAGTGGAATGTGAAATAGGGATATCACTTATAGGCACTGTACCTGAATTGGACCTGAACGTTTTAATCCGCACATCTTCTCTGGCAAGGAAACTTTTATCCTTGTCCTCGGCAATCATTACACATTTATATTACGCTTTATATTTTACTAGGAGTTTCATATTTCAGTTATTGATTTGGGGAAAATAGCATGCGACTCGAGTGTTAGTGTTGAGAGAATGGTCAGACTCCTGCTGCAGAATGAATTCCTTATGAAATAAATGCTGCGCTTCCCAGCCTTGGCTCTGCATCAGAAATACCTGTGGAGCTTACGGCCCTGAGCTACCGAGTCAGAATTTCCGGGTGTACAACCCAGATATCTTTCTTTTTTAATAGCAACAAAAACAACTCTGATTGACAGAAACCAGGGCTGATAAATACTGTCTTAAGAAACAGACATGTTTCTTTTTCACTCACTCATGGGGCGTTTTGTGTGTGTGTGATTTGTTCACCAGGCTCTTCAGTGCTGTGATGAAGGAGAATGTCTTCTAGCTAATCAGGAAATAGATAAGTTTCAGTCTAAAGAAGATGCTCAGAAAGCCCTCCGAGATATCGAACATTTTCTTGAAATGGCTCTGCCCTTTATAAATTATGATCCTGAAACCCTACAGTATGAATTTGATATAATTTTATCTCCTGAACTCAAGGTAAGAGGGTTTTTTTCAAGTAAACAAAATTTTAAAAACCATAATTACACTAGTGTTGATAAGAGTTTTACTACTTCACAGCTAACTATATATCAGATCACAGCTAACTATATATCAAATTGTAATTGCATAGTTCGCTTAAGGATTAGATGTGATATCAGTGCCACTGTTGAGCATCAAAAAATCCAAAGGCTTATGCTTGCTGTATAATGAAGAGTAATTTCCTTTTGAGCTCTGACTCTGTTATTTTTAAACTCTTTTCACATACTTGGAGCTCTCATATACATTTTTTTGTGAATGCTTGGAGAAAGGTCCAAAGCTGTCCTAGGAGAATATTGGGCACATGTCAAGAGCACCCTATGCCAAACATATGTTCTTTACACTGCAGTGACCACCAATAGATGGTCTGTGGGCATAGATCTGGCTTTTCTATTCAGTTTGAGAAGGGAGGTTTAAAGAAAGGATCTGAGTCTTCTTGGGGAAGGGGGAGCAGGTGGAAGCTGCTTTTCACAGAGTGCAGAGCTATAGGTTAGTTCAGTATCACCCCACTGGAAATGTCATGAAGCACTCTCTTCACATTGTAGATACACACATTTATGATGCTATTTGCTGCTCAAATGTCCTATAGTCTAATTGAAGTTTGGAGGAGTATCTAAATCCATGCTTAGCTAAAGATCATAAGGGATGCCCCAGAAAGTCAGAAACATGGCCATGGCAATAACCAAGTCATTCTCTGGAAACAACTAAGCTTAGCTAACCACCTCAAATCATCTCAGAGGAGCAGAAGGGGATATTATCCATCAGTGGCTCTTTTTAAAACATGGAGAACTCAAGAATGTCCTTCAGGCTAAAATATAACAAATTATGATGACAGTGCTTAACTTGATGGCTTTCTCATGCTGAACTTACCTTCTTTTCCAGCCATTATCCCTTGCAGCCTGTGAAGGGTAAATTGCTTTATGCAGTGACCTATTTCATGACTGCTTGATAAATTTCTTCTTTAAGTTGTTTTGTTGGAGATCTCATGGTTTTATAACCATACGAAGATAGTACATTAATCTATTTTCCATTTCTTTCCTAAATTTCTTCTAGTTATATTTTAAACTCTAAATTATTTTTTGACTGAGTCTGAGAAATATAATAGGATTTGTAATGACCCCATTTCAGAAAATATTTCATAGAGTTCTTATGCACCCTGTAGATTCAAATGCAGACCGTACAATTCAAGCTTGAAAACATTCGAAATATATTTGAGAACCAACAAGCTGGTTTCAGGAAACTGCAAGATAACCATATGAGACCAATGCAGTTCATGGTACCTTCTTCCAACAATATGATCAGATCTCAAACACCATTTTTTTCTCCTAACCCTGGTAAAGTATTTTACATTCATCTTTTCTATCTCTTCTTTTCCTGCTCTTGTTTACTTTATTACTCTTGATATAAATACTGAATTTGTTTTTCAATCCTGATAAATTGGAATTTTATTTAAGCACCTTTGGTCATGTTTGCATTGCATAAGGCAGGAATCATGGTTGACACTAGCGTACAATAGCACCACAGTGTGATATTGGACAGTATAGGATGATGCAGGTCTGTACCGAATAGTCCAGCCTTGTCATGACTGTGAATATTTACACCAGCAGCATCAAACTCACGCTTTTCTGCAACTGGTGGAAGAAGATGTGAAACTGGAACACACATGATAAAAATATGCCTGCGTGCACTCGTCCATATTTTCTCCTTATCTCTGTAAACTGTAACTTGATTCTTATAAGCTTCCAGTGAGTGAATAGCTTAGATAATAGAACAGATTGTCTTTTCTAAATAGGTGCAAGTAAATAGCACAATTTTTCTGGTAATGACCTGTCAGAGTCCATTTGCTCATTTTAATCTTTGTAAACTTGTTTTAACCATGTAATGTACATTTCTATGTTCTATGGGATAAAATAATGATCCTCACTGTGATGTTGAACTACTCTGGAAATAAGATGACTTTATTGCTCCAAAGTTTCCCTTGAGCTGCCTCTAGGGCCTCTTAGGGGAGAGTGATTTGACCTTTGGGGCCTTAAGTTAGTTGAATGGGTGAACATGGGACTAAATTCGGTCTCTCTGATCTGAGAGAATCAGAGAATCCATTAATGTATGGGAACTACTTTGAAATTCAGAGAAAGGTTGAACCAGGCGTAATGAATATAAAAATCCAACTCAGCCTCAGCATGCATCACATTAAAAACAGGTGAGGAAAGCAGGTAACTAGGCTAAGCTGATCGAACTTATATAGTTAATAGTTATTAAATATAAAAATATACTCAGAAATAAAACTATGAACAATTCCATAAATAAATAGGGTTGACTAAGATGATACGAAGAAAAAGAGTAAAAACAAAAAAGAACCAGTAAGGGGCTAAAAACCAACAGCTAGGAGAATAAAAATAGAACAAGTTGATTTTCCTAAGACCTCAGGTTCCAGGTTTCTGGCTTCAGTTATTTACTGACTATGGGCAGTTCACTTAAGCTCTTTTAGCCTCAGTTTCTTTGTCTGTAAAATAGGGACATTAACATCCACTGACTTCAAAGGGTTCTTGTGAAGATGAAGTGGAAAAAAATTGTAGTTCTCAATTAACTAGACTATTCTTTCCTTCTAAGGCTTCTTGCTCTATAGTCCTTTAAAATCTCAGCTCCTTCAAAGGGGTTGAAGAACATAGTTCTGAAGAAACCGTCCAAGAACCACTCACTGCCTTAGTCACTAAAAGTACATTTTATTTTGTGTTATTTCATTTTTTTTCTTTCTGATTTTCTTATTTAATGGTGTTACGATTTCTTTCTTCAGTGGGAGCTGGATACTCTTTCTTTCAAGCATGTAAACTTTTTTTTCACAAGGAATCCATCTGTACTACTTTTCATCAGTACATTTTTCTGAGTTTGTGTCCATGTAAAAAACCAGTTTGGCAGCTAAAACCAGCAGCATTAATTCTTGCATTCTGACTGCAGTTAACTTTCTCTCTTTTTCAAAATAACCATCCATTATTCTCTCGGTAGTAAACTGAGCCTTGGAAAATGACTATATAAAAATTAGATTATGCTCTTCATCAAATGACCTCTCATGAAAAGAAAATAAGAAAAACAATTGACGATGTTAAAATAAATCAAGCTTTCTTTCATTTTAGAGACACTTGTGTCATCCACAATAAAACTGTTTGTTGGGAGTAGCGTGGACGTGCTGCAATTTAGGACTGCCTAATGTATTTATGAGGAAGAAGGAAACTTACTGAATAAATGATATGGGTGGATAAATGATGTTATCCATTATTCATCATGGTTTATAAATTAAATCAAAACATTACTTATGCCACAAACATTGTTAATTTTTACCTTAATTGCTCTGTGAGTAATTGGGATTATTACAAGCAGTTCCAAATAATTCTTCAAGACTTTTAATTGCTAAGCAGATATATAAGATTTGGTCACATCTAAGCGTGTTAATTTTTCATAAAATAAATCAAATTTTTTTTTGTGTTCTTTGTTTTTGTTTATTTGTGTTAATTTACATCAAATAGAATCCTGTACCTAGCACAGTTTCTGCTGGCACCTAGCAGGATGTAATAAATATTTGTCGAATTAACATTTACTATAGAGGTAAGTCATGGAAGAACATTGTCAGTGAGGGATAAAATGTGGTTTGAGCTGCTAAATCTATAAATCTAGTCTAGATCTCTCTCCTAATCTTCAAACCTGCGTTTGCACTCTGCCGCCTCAGATTTTCTATTGGCAAGTCAGACTCAGCGTACCCCAAACTGATTGCATCTCTCCTGCAAGCCTGCTCTTTCTATGTTCCTCATCTCAGTGAATAGCCCTGTGATTCCCGGGCCCTTAGCTCCCACCTCTCACTCATGCCCCACCTCTAATCAGTCAAAAAAATCCACTTCTTTCTATCCCCACTGCTATCCCTCACTGCCACTTTCCTAATCTAAGCTAATATCATCTGTTGCCTTGACAACTGCAGCCTCTTTGTCTCCCCACTTTTCTTTCTCAAATGCCCCTAGTTGTCTTGCCTTTTGGACTTTACACATATTGTTCTCTCTCTGGAGCACTATTCCCTCCCCTCTCCCTTTTCCCTCTGCTGTCTCCTACTCCTCCATCAGATTTCCCATCCCTAGGCCACTTCTTGCCTCTCTGCCCCTGCACTCAGTTCTGTTGGATGTTCAAGCTATGTGATAACAAGTGCCCCTTCATTTTTCCTCAGTTTTAGTGTAATTCCCTGTTTTGCGTTTCTCTTACTAGACTGTAAGCCCTGTAAGGGTAGGGACAGTGTGCAATTCGTGTTTGTATCCCTAGCAGTAAACACGGAGTTTAGCATATAGTATAGGTACTCAATAATTTTATATACATAATTTATATTGTTAAAAGAATGAATTCATCTGCCTTGCTTTTCAGAAAATGATGCATTCCTCACAAGTTGCGTATGTTCCTTTTTCATCTCTTAATGTATTTGCAAAGAACTCATTAATACAGCTAATTAGCGAAGCTCCTAAGTTACCTTTATAAGTAAGTTCAGAGCTCTGTGTATCAGGTGTCTTTAAAGGGGTGGACATCACTGTTCATTGAGAAATTGATTTTATATGATAATTGCCAATAGTCTAATTTATATTTATATGTATGATTATGTAAATATAAAATTTATATATAAAATGTGTTTTTAAATAAGTGAAAGTGAAGTACAAAATTTAGAGAACATAAAAGCATAGCCTTCCTTGAGTGTGCCTTGCAATGGCTCCTGCCAAGGAGGAAAAGACAAAAATTATGTTCCCTCCATGGAGCAGAGAGATCCACACAGCCTGTGTGGGTGGCAGCCTTTTCAGCAGCCCTGAGAATTAGGAACTTAAATGACCTAGTCTTTGACTGGACCATGCCCTGGGCTTTGTAGGAACATCTGGACTCTTTGCTTAACAATATAGGGGCTCAGCCTCTGTCAACAGAAGAAAAAGATTAAACAGAAAGAAAAAGAGAGATTAAACAGGAAGAACAGAAAGATTAAAGCTTGGAATTTTGATGAAGTTGTTTTTTGTTTTGTTTCATTTTGTTTTAGCATTTTAACATGCTTTAGAAATGTTTTATATAGTGGTTAGAAACACGTATCTGACAGTAGATGATTTGGATTTGAATACCGCCTATGCTTCTTGGACAAGATATTAACCTTACTTACTTATCTATAAAATGGGGTTAGAAGTAATACTTATCTCTTAGGGTTGATTTGAGGATTAAAAAAGAAAATGCATGTGTAGAGCTTAGAATCGTGCCCAGCATGTAGTAAGTGCCAAAACAATGCTATAATTCTTAAATTAATTTTTTAAAACTCTTTTTAACCTCGTTAGTCAGTGAGCTACTATCTGACTAAATGCTTATGCAAATAAATTATGAGCACTAACACCTAGCTTCATACTTGCTCGGCAATGAAGCGAATGTTTGATGAGTGAGAGAACGGGTGAATACATAGCAAAATCATACTCAAGAAGTAAAAATCGTATAGCTAAGGCTAACCATTCAACTGTTCCTGCATAATGTGATTTAAAAATACTAATATAAACACATTGGAATATTACTATCTATTTAATAAACGTGAATGTATTCTTGTTTAAAGCGTTGATTTTAATTTGGTTTGAAATTCTTCTTTCATATTTCTCTTCCAGTGAAGAAGACCTGGAGACAAAATCAGAGCAGCGTAAAAGTAAATATCATTAATTATTTCAAAGTTGGCTTTATTGCTGTTGTTGCAGAATCAGTATGGGGGCTTAAACCATATTTTAAATTCACTCAACCAGTATTATGTGTTTGAAAGCCTATTTAATCTAAAAGAAAAAGCTGCTGCATTGTGTCTAATTGCAGCACTGGCATATACCCAGATGTATGAGCAGTTTCTCAAGTCTTGGCTCAAGTTCCGAATAATTTCTATAGAATATCTCATATAAGTTCCAGCTCTCTTCCCTCCCCCCCACCCCACCTCAATAAAACTAAATAAGTGTTGCATCTTTTTTAAAAAAAGGAGATTTCTTTCATAAGTGATTCCAGTCCTACAAGTATGAAGCATGGACAAAGGACAGGTTCTAATTATCCATACTCTGGGCTCAAAAAAAGGCATCTGTTTGTTTCTTGATGGATACACAATTCCTTCTCTGTTATCCATGATATTCTGGTATCTGCAGACAGTAGCCTCATCATAACTGCAGCACCCTACATTTCCTTTGTGTATTTTTGATATTGAATAAGGACAAGAACATATCTCCAAGAGGCAGTTTGTCATAGTGATACCGATTGTAGAGCCAGACTTGCCTGGCTTTTAATCTCAGCTCCATCACTTGCTGGCTGTATAATGTTGGGTAAGTACTGTGGAACTCAGTTTCCTTATCTATAAAATGGGGACAACAATAGAACACCCTCGTCATGGAGTTCGTGTAAAGGTAAAATAATCTAATATTTGTAAAATGCTTTGAATAATGTGTGGCATGTCATAGTTCTGAGTGTTTTATACGATTGTTAGCAGGCTAGTGAACGGCCTGTGCTGACATGCCATGCCCAGTTATTATGTTGTACAGCCACAACTGCTGGTTTCAAGAGGGAAACAGCTGAATTCTATAGTCTTATGTCTTTTGGTTCTATTTTGAACTCGTGAGTACCTTACCATTCTGCTATGTGTATTTATTCATTTAAATATCACCAGGAAATAAATAGGCAGCTGTGGCTCTGTACATTTTCTTGGTGAGATTTATAGCGGGTGAACCCAGTTTCACGATGCTCACATTCTTCCAATTCAAGTCAAATTGCCCAATCCTTAGGTATTTAAAAGTATAAATATATGTTTCAAAACTTTCCAAACTTGTATTTTAGAAACATGTTAGAGATAAATGGTGCATACCTATCTGATAAGTAGAGTATGCGGCATTTTCATTCTTAATTATAGTTTTGAAATGATGATAACAGTTGGGTTGGTACACTGAGCAGATTTAAATCAAAGCATACTCTTAAAGAGGGAGCATGAAAAAGGTGGCAGACCATAAGCTTGACTCTGTCTCATCACTTACTAGATATGCGACCTTGGCCCTGTTGCTAACTACACCTCTCTTAGCCTCAGTTTTCCCATCTGTAAAATGGGGATAAGTATGCCATAGCTTGCTAAATTGACGTGAGGATTTGGTAAAATGGTGTGTATTAAACATCTAGGACTGTGCCTGCACAGTATATAGAAAGTAGTCAATAATTTTTTTGTTTCTTTCCTCATATATAAGTGAGTCATATTCTGTGGAAATGCATTTTAGCTGATAGATGCCGAACTTCATTTTGGCTTCTAGTTGTTACTAAGTAATGCTACATTTACTTGGAGTTCAAACTTTTTACTCAGCTCAGCTGTCCCATACAGCCAGGATCCCTAGAATATGTTTCAGATGCTTCTGAAGAGCAAATAACCTCATTTTGTGATAAATCTCATTCAGTCGACTCGGTAAGGCAGATCAAGTTCTGTAGAGTCTGCACAATAAGGCAGCAGTTCAGGATCAGGGAGGTTACTTGTAGCAACAACTAACATGTGGCAGAGAGCAGAGACAGATGAACAGGTTACAGCTATTTCGAAAAACAGTTCTGCACATCTTATTAGCCCCGGAGTATATGATTCGATTTTATCATATCACTCATGTTCATGATCGATGCCAGCAAGTCATTAGGAAAAGAGTCAGTGATGTTCTGTATACTTGGTTAATATTTCCTAGAAAGGTTTCTATCAGAAATTCCTAAGATTAAAAAAAAAAAAGAAGAAGAAATTAGATTAAAAAGCCATTTTGGTTCTTCATCTAATGAACTTTAGCTGGACAGTCAACTTTTTTTGACTTAATCTCGTTTTCACAAAGTGCAAAATAAATGAAACAGTGCTTAATACATAAAATAAATTCTAACTAGTATATTAAATTTGTCCTCTTAGGCAACTGAAATCATTTTTTTTACTAGTACATACCAAAGTTATTTCTGACAGAATAATCATAGTGTTATTTTAAAATTTATCTGCACAGTTAGGACATAGAGAAAACTTAATTTGAGCTAGATTTCCTTGAAAAAGAACTATACCTACATAGATGCTAATTTAACTTATATTTTCAAATTTCAGATTGAAGCGGTACATGAATGTCGGGAGACGAGAAGTTCTGCTCAATCCTCCAGTTTGAACAATGACAATAACTTGGATATTTTAAAGAAGTAACTTTTGTTTATTAACAGACTCTTATATACACATCTACCAGTAGGAGTCACTGGTTCAGTGTTCAGGGCGAACATGCTTAGGATTTTGAGTTCATAGAATGGGGTTCCTACTGGGTGTGATGAAAAGAGCACTAGATGAGATGTCAGAAGTCTTGGATTTAGGTCTGCCTAATCTATGCTCTTTTTATGTGACTTGAAAATTAACTAGATCTTTTCGGAATTTCAGTCTTCTCTTTTGTAAAAGAGGCCAGAGTGAATGGGACAGGGCTCCAAAAACTACATAGGATTGTATAAATATACAATGTTATTTTATAGATGTTAGGAATAATCATCACTGTTCTGTTCAATTTTATAATATTATGTTAATATTCCAGACATAAGAATATTCACTTTTTAAATTCTATATCGCAGAGTTATAAGTAGCCAGTATTTTAGAGCAAGTTGTATGTAGACATATGTATATATCCATATCTATATATAGATATATTTTTTTTCAAAGATTGTTAAATGTTGACACTTAAAAGAGTAAAAATAAAAAAAAAGAGGCCAAGGTGTAGAAATTAAATTAAAAGGGTTCCTTATACTGGGTAGTGAAGAAATGAATTTTAAATACGATGTTAATTGGAAATCACATTGGGAGGAAAATGTATCTTATTCTGAAGAGACAGTAAACAGAATTACCACAGAAACTTAAGTATAATGTATATTTGGGAAAACCAGTATAATAAATCTACTTTATGTCTTGGAAAGTGTCAGAACATTACTGGGAAAAGGGAAAAATTGTGCCTAAAATGCTAATATTTCTTTTTGAGGGAGAGGGAGTAAAAGAGGGAACTATTGCTCAGAAACTATGCTGCCCTCCAAAAAAAAAAATATTTCCCAGATTTTTAGGAATAGAATTTGCAAGTTTTTAGTAATCTGATTCTTAAGCTTCATGAGTTAGAAATATTTTTTTTCATTTAAAAATAACTTCTGAGCCCCACTCTTCTTTCTTTTAAATATATTTTAGAGTCTTAGAGGTGGTAATTATTCTAGAAATCATGGAATTAATTTTATATTTTGATGATAAAACTAAAACTGTGCATTAACAATTTTTACTTTAGATAATTTATAATGATAATAATTGAAACATTGCAATATAATTCTAAAGCAATAAAATAACTGATAAATATTGTCTTCTCCTTTTAGCCATGTCCTAAATGAGCTGATACAGACAGAGAAGGTGTATGTTCGTGAGCTGTTTACTGTTTTGTTGGTAAGGGACTCAAATGGTATCGTCTCATCTTTCCCTGAATGCTCCTTTGCTACATTTGTTAGGGAGTGTTTAGGGCAGTCTTCTCCTTCTGCCTCCTTTCTTGATTGTCACATGGCAGCAGTGATAGCTCTCCTGTGGTTTGAGGCTGCATGTTTGTCAGATGTGTATATCCAGGTTCTCCCTCCAGAGTGAGAATTGTGGATTCACAATTTATTACAGAAGAAATAAGCTGTTCTCTTAGGGATACAGCAAGTTGTTCTAATTATTCCCAGGGTGCTATTTCGAGATTGTGATATAAAGAACTAAAAAATGGGAGAAAAGCATTCATTTTATACAAATGTCATAATATGAATCTAGTCTGAAGAAACCTAAACACTTATTGCTAGCTTAAGTAGAAGTTAATGACTTGGAATAGAATTTTTCATACTTGGTTTCTATTTTGTTTCCTACACTATATCAGGCCAAAGAGCTGTCACTTTATTCTACCCATCGTGTGGAAAACCTTCACTTCCTTGTCCTACTTTCTAAAAAAAAAAATAAATAAATAACAACAATAATGATAATGGATAATTTGGGGAACTAGAAGATTTGAATGTCAAAATTACAGCTTCACCCACTAATCCTCTACATATTTTGCTGTGCCTACACTTTGGATGTCCCAATCAAATGTTGATGTGAATATTTTTTTAATGAAAAAATATTTATTTTGGGTAGGGCTATAAAGCGGAGATGGACAATCCTGATATGTTTGATCTGATGCCACCTCTCCTGAGAAATAAAAAGGATATTCTCTTTGGAAATATGGCAGAAATCTATGAATTCCATAACAAGTATGTAATTGTTAACTCGAACTTTTCATGATATTATTTAAAGGGTTATTGACTAATTTATCATATTTCACATAAAAATATATAATCTTTTTCTCTGAAATTTTTGTAGCCTTTTCATGAACAGTCTGGAAAATTGCATCGAGTATCCAGAAAGAGTGGGACCTTGTTTCCTGGAAAGGGTTAGTTCAATTATTATTTAAAAACACATAAATATGGACCACCAAAATAGCAGCTCATTTTATAAGAACAGATTTAGAGATAAGGTAGGTATTGTTTTTTATGTCTTTATGTTTTTGAAGGAGACACATCACTTCAAGTATTTAATGCTAAACCAGGATTTGTTACAGAAACTGGTGCAATGGGGTATCGAGAGCATGCAAATGGCCATTGTGTTCTGTGCTATCAAATGCTTCAATGGCTCAGCTTGTGACCACTGACCCCTGGGTGATCCCAGGAGTCCAAGGACCATCCTGGCTATGAAGATGTGAGAGTTTGGATCATCTTAGCACAACCATTCTTGGGCTTGGTTAATTTTTAGCCTAAGAGATGCCTTGGCATTCCCCTCTAACACATGTAAAGTCTTAGAATAAAATGTAGTATGGCTTTCAGACCCAAGGCATCTATCACAGGAACTTTGCAAAATGGAGAGCTGTCTGTTCTTTTTATTCTATGAGATCATTCAGGGAGGCTCATTTCTCCATGTCCCAAGAGTGTACTTAGTACAATTGACTTCCCAGGCTTTGTAATCATATTCTCCTCCATTAGAGTTTCCTCTCAGAATGTTCTCTGCTTTATCTAGTTCCTCTTGTTCCTGAAATATCAGTTTTGTGTTGATTTGAGAGTCAGTTTGATAGAGGTGCTTATCGAAAGCTTTCTAAGGTTAAGAAAGAAGTGTGTGTTATTACCTTTCTCAACATATCCTAACTTTAAACACATTTAAACTATGTCCAAATTCTTCCCTAAGCGAAAACAGTCTTTCTTTCCTTTAGACTCCTGTAAGACTTAATGACTTTGCTACTCATTGGGGAATTTATGTGCATCTTTACATATATTCATGAATTCTTTCTCTAACTCGATGGAAAACTCTTTGAGGCAGGGTCTATATCCTATATATCTTTGTATCTCTCATAAGGTTAGCCAAACTATTGGCAACCGGGAATAGTTTAATTAAATGTTCATTCACTCAGCAGCTATCTGCTGAGAACCTACTTGCACCAAGCACTGTGCTAGGCAATGTGGATACCAAGCCCAAAAGTATTCATGGAGAAAAACAGAGAATCCCTTGTGTACAGTGTGAGTTATGCTATGTTAGAGATATACAAAGGGTCCTATAGGAGCCAAGAAGATGTGCATCTTAAATAGGCCGGAGGTATAAATGACGGCTTTATAGAAGAGATAACTAATGAGATGAATGTTAAAGAGTGAGTAAGAGGCAGCCCATTAGAGAAGGGTCAAATACATATTATTCTAAGGAGAGAGAATAGCATGGGCAGATAGATGTCTAGTGGGGTTATGATACAATGATGATGTCCCAGTGATGAACCAAAGGCCTTGAATATTAGCTACAAGTTCACTCACCAGGAAAGCGAGTGACTAGCAGCATAGAAAGAGCATTTCTTGGAACCCTATTAGCTCATAGTTATTTAAAAAAATGAGTCTACTTTTATATTACATTCAGGGAAGGCTTTTCTCCCTCTAAGTCTCAAACTTAGTAAGTGGACATAATGAAATTACTTAGGATATTATGTGTCCCTCTACTTGGGCTTATGGTCTGTTCTTGGACTGCAAAGGGCTCCTGACCAGCTGCCAGTGTGGACCATATTCCCTATAAAGCTTGGCCACACTCACTCTTGTTCAGCCTTTCCTAATAAGAAAAGTATGTGTTCATGAATTGGTAATATGTTTGAATTTGCTTTTTATCACAGAAAGATGATTTTCAGATGTATGCAAAATATTGTCAGAATAAGCCCAGATCTGAGGCAATATGGAGGAAGTATTCAGAATGCGCCTTTTTCCAGGTATAGTAATTATTCAGGTTTTGGATATATTCTTTGTAGAAGATACTGGGATATTTCTTATTTATAAATTCATTTTCTACTTTAAGTAAGTTATATGTGTATATTGATTAAAGAGCAATTCGACACTCCCCAAAACACAGCGAAGTGTGTGCGTGCGCGCACACATGCACACACACACGCACAGAAACACACATATGCTGCCCCCCAGAGGCAACCACTTTCAGCTCTTTAAATTACTTTTGATACTTACCTCCATATCTTTAATATCATGCTTATATTGCTACTTCCCACCATAGAAGATGAAGATTCAACTCTATTTCTCTGTTCTCTCCCCACCACCACCACACGCATACACATACTTCTTTTCCTCCAAATCATCCAATATAGTTGTATTGTAATTTTGGTTAGATTGATAGTGTTAAATTATTAATACCATGTTAATTTCTGTGCTCAGATGAATTATGTGGTATGAAATTGTTGTTTTTCCTTGCCTTTTGTTTTTCTTGCAGTTGTCTTTTTTACTCATTTAATTTTCTAGGTATTTATCCTTATTTTACCCCCAAACTCTCCCAGCGTGAGAGTTACATAAATCTCTTCTCAGTACATTTAAATACATTGTATATATTTTCTATGAATTTCATCTTGAGTAAATCTCTCCTGGAGTCTTCTGACCTGTTCATCTAGACTCACTAGACCTGTTATGCAGCTGTCATCTTGGGATGTTGGTGAATATCATTTTGGGGATTTTGTTCACCTGTCTTTTGCATGAGCTCTCCTGTTTCCTAGGTGCCATATCTTTCTCTTCCTTCTTTTACTCACTTGATTGGTAGAACACATCTTCCAGTATTTTTACTGAGAAAGTGTACGTGGAAGGTAAAAGTTTTTAATAGCATGCATATCTGCAAATGTCTTTATTTTTCCCTAACACTTGATTACTAGGTTAGCTGGGTATAGAATTCTATATAGAAATAATTTTCCTCAGAATTTTGAAGGCATCTGTCCTGTTGTCTTCTAGCTTCCAGTGTTGCTGGTGTGAAAGTTGATGCCATTGTGGTTTATGTTCCTTTGCATGTGACCTAATTTTTGTCCTCTCTCTAAAAGCTCGTGGGAACTTCTTATATTCTCGGGGTTCTAAAATTTCACAAGGCTGTGTCATTATGTTGGCACTATTTTTATCCATTATGCTAGTCTGTGGTGACCCCTTTGAATTTGGAATGTTTTGTCCAAATTCACTTGAATTTTTTTCTTTGATTCTCTCCACACAAATTTCTCAGTTATCTTTTTCTGAAATTCTGTCATACAACTATTGTTGGATATCCTGGAACAGCTCTCTAATTATCTTTTCCATTTTCTGGCTCTTTGTCTTCTTGGTCTATTTTCTGGAATTTATCTTCCAGTCCTTGCATAGACGGTTTTATTTCTGCTATTGTTTTTAATTTTGAAGAGCCTCTACTCTTTTTTGTTCTCTTAATGTTCCTTTCAATAGAACTCGTACTTTGTTTCACGTGTTTGTTTCACTTATCTATATGAGGATAGTAATAATAGATTTTCCTTTAAAAAATAGTTTTCTCCTCCCTACATCGTTTCTGTTGTCTTCAGGTTGCTTTTCTTTTTCTTCATTTTGTTTCTGTTACTCATATTAGAGACTTTCCTCAAAGTCCGGTGATACTTTTTGTCTACTTACGTTAGGAATAAGTACTAAAAAAGCTCATTTGGAAATTTCCTGTGCATAGGTGAGTTTATTGACCATGCTCCTCACTGTTGGGTAATTTTCTAAAGCTGTTTCCTTGGGAGGGATCCTCAATACCTATATCCTTATGTCACTTCTCTAAGGCTAGTCAGATTGCCCAGTCTACTACCTGGTGAATAAGGATCTGGCTGCCAGTGTTCTGGTAGCCAAGTGGGGGGAAAAGGCTAGATAGAGTTTTTAATTTGGTACATAAATATTCAAGTAATCTCTTTGCTTTTAATATGGTACTCCGCCCTCAACTGGACTTGGTATTCCCTAGTCCAAAGGCCTACGTTTTAGTTTTCAAATAAACATCCATTCTTCTGCTATGCAGAGGAAGAGGCAGCCCTTCAGCTGTGCCTAGTGGCATGGTTATCTGAGAGACTTGCTGCTGCTGGTTTCTCCTCCTCCCCATCCTCCTGCT